AAATGCCCTTACTAAAATATTTACTCGGCCAACCCATATCATATGGGATTTTCTCATACCTAGGCCCATCCGTACCCTATGGCTACAGGCGATAGGTCAGCCGACAATCGGCTGGCCCATATGGTACGGGTTTTTGTCAACCTCAACTGGCTATATCCTACGGTCCAAAGCACTGCATGGGCTCTTTGAGAAGCCCCAGCTTGGGTTGCTGGGACTGCCACATTGTCTTGTGGTTGAGGCTGCACCAGAGCGCATGATGGATGTCTCCATCACATTGCATCAGCCTGTCGGCTGATCCATGCTCCGCCGCCCCCACTATGAGTGCAAACTGGATGTCTCCAGTTGAATACCGAGCTTATCAGCTCGATACGCGCCCAACACCATCCCCAACGGGACGGTGGACCCAATGCATCGAAAGTACAAAGTGGTAAGGAGACAAGAAGTTGAATGTGTTGGCTATAAATATACATCGGCAGCAGAGTTGGAAAAAGTTACCAATCCGTTGGGTGCTTTATTCCCGGAAGGACTTTGAAGGGAAATTTGAACTTTTCCAGTTTCCAATTACATAAGTCGGCATCGGAGCCATACGGGAAAAAATAAATATCATAGAAGGAATCCTCCGCAATGATTGACCTAGCGATGCCTTTGCGTAGAACATCAGCAATCACATTTGGTATGATACATACAGTAAATTGCATTGGAGCCAGAGAGCGATGTATGATTGGGAGCCTAAGACATGGGGGAAAGACGATGAGGATGGCGAAGCTATGATGAATGTTTATATACCCTTCTAGAGGTGGAGGATAACTACTAGTGATGACGGATGGTGACATAGGTTGAAACTACCGCATTCCAACACATTAGAGTTCTAAGATGTTTGTTTTACACCTTCCCATCCTTGCACCTTTGACTTTTTGAGGTCCCATAGTGCATCCAATCAACTGGCTTGACGCCCACCGCCTTGTATACGTTTTCCCTCATGTAGTATGCAATGTAATGGCGGTCTCCGTTAGCAATGCCAGTGCCGTGTCTGAGGACCCTTTCAGAGAATGCTATGAGAGTTCCGGCATCATAATGAAAGAAAATTCTTAGGTTGGAGAGGTTAAATGTGGCCGCGTTGTATCTACCTAACAACACCAGCAAGTCCAACCATTCGTTCTTGCCGTTGTAGTCTATGTGCAGGAGAGTTTCTCAGTTTACCATGAGAGACATTACACTGTAGACTGATATCCAGGTGCCGAAAACCTATGCTATCTCTTTGTCGCTGATCTGCAAGGTTAGCTGGCCAAGCCCAACTATGGCTTTCCAGCCTACTACATACAGGTCAGGATGCATGATGGCCAATGCTCTGGATAGGACTGCATTGGGAATGGTTATGGCATTGAGCCATGCACAAGCTCCGATGCTGCAGGGGTTGAAGTCCTTCAACAAGGCCGAGACCTTGGGGACATGATTATTTCCCTGCAGTGAATCAGTCAGCCACTATCGCAAGAGGGAACATCGTACTCACCTTGCAGCCTTGTTGGAACCAGGCAGGTGAGAGCTTGATAGAGCCTTTAACGGAGGCATCCTCCTGAAACAGCGATCCTGTTGTCTGCCATTTATTATCAGCCAATGGGGTGATGCTTCTCTTTAATTGAACTTCAATGTGTGCTAGGGAATCCCACATCTCGTCCTACCGGCAGCTTTAACTGAGAAGTTTACATATTTACCAAAGAATTATGTGCCTGAAACATCTGTGAGAGGACGCCTGGCAGGTACTAGGCTAGGATGTAGTCATGTTTGTCGACCACCAGCGTGGGTTCTGAAATCATGCGCTCGGGGCTAGGATCGTATTTCTCCAATAATGAATGTTCTCTTTCAATGTCCTTTCCTAATTCATTTGGAGTAAAGTCATGAGCTATGCATCTGGTGTCTATGTCCACGGTGACTAAATTGGGTGAGCAAAGTGACGACCGAGTGGGCCTGCTACCTACCTTGATTGTCGTAAGCAGCCACCAATGCATGTACTATGCGGTCGGCCTGGCAAATGGCAAAGGTCGGAATAAAGCGTGATGGTATGGCCCTTTCACACTTGGAATCGCGAGCGAGCTCCTCCCTGAACCTATTCATTATATAATCCACTACAAGGTCAGACATGCGGAGGTTCCAATGTTTAGGCACCTGAGTTGATGGTATGATGGTGAGAGTAATGAGCACAGGCCCCACGTAATTGCAAGAGCATGCCATGACAAGACTGCCCTGATCAACTCCAACTATTACTAAAGAAGGGAGAGTCAAGGGGTCAAAAAGCGGTTTTGATTTCGCGATACAATGGAACAAAGGCAGACCTCGGGGAGATTTCAAGTTCTGCTGACTGATTTTCCAGTTACTCAGAGAGCCGGCTGCATGGTTAAACTGTTCTCAAAGACATGGGGTACATACTAATGGCTGGAACATAGATAGCTATGAAAACTCAGCCAACCCTGCTCTCCTACGCCACACCTTCAATTTATTTATAAACTGATCTGTTGGTTTTACCGTGCCCCATGTATAAATTTGTAATATGTCTCATGCCAGCACACGTTGCAGCAATTAAACAATTCTTCCATTTTTGGATGCCACCCTATTTAATATTAATTAACACTTGTATTAACAGATTTAAAGGCTTTGTAATGGGTGTTATAAATGACAGTCTATTTAATATTAATTTCATAAAACGAATTTAAGGGGGTTAGCTAGGTGGTTTAACAGTAAATTTACACTTTACAAACAGTGTTTCGATTACTCTACTCTATATAAAAAATAAATTATCTAATTATATCTAATTACTTAAAAGAAAAATATTTTATTCTATCTTATAAGTGTAATAATATATAATTCTTAATAGTTTATAATAATATAATTATTTTTATGCAAATATACCGTAATTATAGATAGCTGGGTAGATCTTAGGTATTTATGTTAAGGTAAGAGTTCGAGTCTCTTTACTTGTACATTAAAAAATAATACTAATAAATATTTTATTATATTTTATTATCTTCTAATTTAAACTAAATTATTCAAAAAGTAAATATTAATTTTCTTTTTAACATATCTTTAGCCGAATGGTACAGCATTTGCCTTTGAAATAATAAGTTATTGGTTGAAATCCAATAATATGTGTTAAACTAATAGTTTAATACTAATTTATAATTTATTTCTCGAATTTTAATTTTAATTTATTAACTAATAAGATCAGTATTATAAAACTTAAATAATTACATAATTATACTATTGCAATCTTTTATACTTATATACATTATACAATATAAATAATTTTTTAATCTACAAAATAATAGTAATACAAATTATTGTTAGCATTACCCACTCTCTAGTCGTTGAATGTTTTTACCTTTTTTTATCTAAAATATTAAATTTGAGATATTTAGATACTAAATTAAACTTCACTACAAATATTCTGAATATTTTTACAAAAAAAACTTCCTTGTAATTTATCTGATTCTAATTATACGGTTACTATAATAAGGACCATTTTGTTTTGTTTTTGAAATTTTAAATGATTTCACTTAAATATTTAAATATTACTTTAATAAGCAAATAAAATAATCAGAAGTCCCACATAGTCCAAATGGAAGTAATTGTGTGGAATGTTAGATATAAATAATAAGAAATCAAGGGAGGGTGTGGGTGGACATCATCATTGTCGCTCTCCACTACGGCGAGGTTGTTTTCCACGAAAGAGGAGTTGCAGGCCCTAGAATACAATGTATAGAACAGGATTAGAGCATGATTTAGAGTGGTGGCAATAGCGCGGCTGACGTACCAGAAGGAATGGAGCAGGGGGTGTGGGTGCGCCCCCCAACGAGGTCGTCGTCGTCGATCTCCACGACGGCAAGGTCGTTCTCCACAAAGGAAGATTTGCAGGCCCTGTAATACGATCCATAGAACAAGGTTAGAGCAAAATTTGCAGTGGTCTGGATGGTGTGGCCGACGTACGAGAAGGAATGGGCGCGGGTGCACCCTGAGCCACCAGCCAGGCCAAACGACGGCCTCCAGCACAACGACGAGCGCTCCGATCGTCGATATTTTTGTTGCAGGCCCCGGGTGGGCTCTGTGGGACAGAGCCCAGGTCCTTTCCGGACAAGCCAGGGTCGTCGTTGATTTTTGCCGTTGCGAATGCGGTCACGGGGGGTGGCGAGGAAAGGTGACGATCTGGCGTCGTCGTCGCTCGCCCGATCCTGGGCTGATTTCGACGAGGTTTTTCTTGCAGGCCCTGGCCAGGGACCGCCCGGGAGGTTCTGGATAGCGACCGAAGGGTTGGGTGTGGTTGCGGAGGGAGGAGGACGATCGAGGTCGGGCGGCGTCCGTTCGCCCCGAATGGATGGTGGCACAGCCGTAAGTATTTGATTGCCCTTACTTTCCCCTTTGATCTTGCTGACCATGGATTGTTGATCCAAGCGCTCCTCGTCTTCTGGTTGGTCATTGATCTGGTCCCACCAAGACATCTCGTCATCGTCAATGTGCATGCTGTGCTTGACAATGTCCCTCAACTGGCTTCTTGACTGCCATCCTTCCGTAGTAGCAAGCAGGCGCTTGCGGTCCCGGGATGCATGGCTCACAAGCATGAGATACTTGATGGCCGTGTCCATCCTCTTAAGGATATCTTGCCTCTCCCATGGCAAAGCCATACATTGCAACATGTGTAGGATGTCATTGATGACCTTGCCATGCTTGGGCTCTTTCAGGTCACCGGTAGCTGCAAACTTCTCAGGAGGTGAGCGTGTGTTGCCCTGGCTCGACTTCTGGTATTCTA